TACATTTTCTTGTATTGTTAATTTCACACTTTCCTCTATGCACCCTAGTTCTACTTCCCCAAGTAGAATTGCTAACATAGTTCCTGTTTTTAAGAAAGGAAAAAAAAGTGATTCGAGTAACTATAGGCCTGTTAGTTTGACATCTGTAGTATGCAAGGTCTTGGAAAAAATTTTGAAGGAGAAAGTAGTTAAGGACATTGAGGTCAATGGTAATTGGGACAAAATACAACATGGTTTTACAAAAGGTAGATCGTGCCAAACCAACCTGATCTCCTTCTTTGAGAAGGTAACAGATTTTTTAGACAAAGGAAACGCAGTGGATCTAATTTACTTTGATTTCAGTAAGGCATTTGATACGGTTCCACATGGGGAATTATTAGCTAAATTGGAAAAGATGGGGATCAATATGAAAATTGAAAGGTGGATAAGGAACTGGTTAAAGGGGAGACTACAATGGGTCGTACTGAAAGGTGAACTGTCAGGCTGGAAGGAGGTTACTAGTGAAGTTCCTCAGGGATTGGTTTTGGGACCAATCTTATTTAATCTTTTTATTACTGACCTTGGCACAAAAAGTGGGAATGTGCTAATAAAGTCTGCAGATGACACAAAGCTGGGAGGTATTGCTAATACAGAGAAGGACGGGGATATCATACAGGAAGATCTGGATGACCTTGTAAACTGGAGTAATAGTAATAGGATGAAATGTAATAGTGAAAAATGGAAGGTCATGCATTTAGGGATTAATAACAAGAATTTTGGTTATAAATTGGGGACACATCAGTTGGAAGTAACAGAGGAGGAGAAGGACCTCGGAGTATTGGTTGATCACAGGATGACTATGAGCCGCCAATGTGATATGGCCGTTAAAAAAGCTAATGTGGTCTTGGGATGCATCAGGCGAGGTATTTCCAGTAAAGATAAGGAGGTGTTAGTACCGTTATACAAGGCACTGGTGAGACCTCATCTGGAATATTGCGTGCAGTTCTGGTCTCCCATGTTTAAGAAGGCTGAATTCAAACTGGAACAGGTACAGAGAAGGGCTACTAGGATGATCCGAGGAATCATTATGAAAGGAGACTCAAAGAGCTTGGCTTGTTTAGCTTAACCAAAAGAAGGCTGAGGGGAGATATGATTGCTCTTTAGAAATATATCCGAGGGATAAATATCAGGGAGGGAGAGGAATTATTTAAGCTTAGTACCAATGTGGACACAAGAACAAATGGATATAAACTGGACATTAGGAAGTTTAGACTTGAAATTAGATGAAGGTTTCTAACCATCAGAGGAGTGAAGTTCTGGAACAGCCTTCCAAGGGGAGTAGTGGGGGCAAAAGACATATCTGGCTTCAAGACTAAGCTTGATAAGTTTATGGAGGGGATGGTATGATGGGATAGCCTAATTTTGGCAATTAATTGATTTTTGATTATTAGCAGGTAAATATGCCCAATGGTCTGTGATGGGATGTTAGATGGGGTGGGATCTGAGTTACTACAGAGAATTCTTTCCTGGGTGCTGGCGGTGAGTCTTGCCCACATGCTCAGGGTTTAACTGATCGCCATATTTGGGGTCGGGAAGGAATTTTCCTCCAGGGCAGATTGGCAGAGGCCCTGGAGGTTTTTCACCTTCTTCTGCAGCGTGGGGCACGGGTCACTTGCTGGAGGATTCTCTGCACCTTGAGGTCTTTAAACCACGATTTGAAAACGTCAGTAACTCAGGCATAGGTTAGGGGTTTGTTACAGGAGTGGGTGGGTGAGATTCTGTGGCCTGCGTTGTGCAGGAGGTCAGACTAGATGATCATAATGGTCCCTTCTGACCTTTAAGATCTATGAGTCTATGAGTCTATAAGCCCCGAAGGGTATTTCATGGGCCCCCATAACCTGTAAAACGGGCCCGTAATTGTAGGGCCCCGTCTTTCAGCTCCTGGATTTGTTGTGTCCTGTCCCCCCCCCCCGCCCTCTTAAAAACAACTGTTAGTAATAGGTGATTCTGCAACATTTTAGCAACTAAATGTTAGTTTAAGTCCAAATCAGTTTAACCTTGCATAACAACTGTGGTACTCCTACAAATCTTATTTGTTGTGTGTACTTAAGGAGGTCCTGACCTCAGTAACTTTAATTGTTTGATGGCTATTGCAGCATCAAACTTGGACCTCATTTTGTTTGTCAATGTACCTAATTATTGTAATGGTGATAGTTTTATTGTATTCCTAATTATTATAATTGTTTGCATTTGTGTTTGTTATATCTCGTGTTTAGTCAATTGTAATGGTTTTAGTTACATTCACCTGGTTATAATTGTTTGGTTTGTTTGCAACAAATCACATGTGCTCTACAATGACAACAACTACTGTAATAATCATAGATCAAGGGGCAGAGTGTTGTAGGAGCAGCAGTGATGTGTATAAACTGTATGTTCAAAAGGTCTGTTACACTTCCCCCCTCTTTTGTCTCCTCTCCCTCTTTCGGTATGCCTACACTACAAAATTAGGTCGAATTTATAGAAGCCGGTTTTTTAGAAATCGTTTTTATACAGTCGATTGTGTGTGTCCCCACATAAAATGCTCTAAGTGCATTAAGTCGGCGGACCGCGTCCACAGTACCGAGGCTAGCGTCGACTTCCGGAGCATTGCACTGTGGGTAGCTATCCCACAGTTCCCGCAGTCTCCACTGCCCATTGGAATTCTGGGTTGAGATCCCAATGCCTGATGAGGCTAAAACAGTGTCGCGGGGGATTCCCCCCCCCCCCGTGAGAGCAATGGCAGACAATCATTTCGCACCTTTTTTCCTGGGTTACCTGTGCAGATGACATACCACGGCAAGCATGGAGCCCGCTCAGCTCAGCTCAGCTCACTGTCACCATATGTCATCTGGGTGCCGGCAGACGTGGTACTGCATTGCTACACAGCAGCAGCTAATTGCCTTTTGGCAGTAGACGGTGCAGTATGGCTGGTAGCCGTCATCGGCTATCTGGGTGCTGGCAGACGTGGGACTGCATTGCTACACAGCAGCAGCTCCTTGCCTTTTGGCAGTGGATGGTGTATTACGATTGGTATCCATCATCATCGTACTCTTCAGTGAGTTCGGTCAGAGGCGCCTGGGCAGACATGTTTTGTCTCCTGGAGACTCAGTCCTGCTGGCAATCCTATTGCACTGTCTTGACGATGATGGCTAGCAATCGTAATGCAGCATCTTCTGCCAAGCACCCAGAAGATGCTGATGGCTATCAGTCATGCTGCATTGTCTGCTGCCAGCCTAAGATGTAAAAGATAGATGGACCAGATTTGTTCTGTATTCATTTGCTTCTCCCTCTCTCCGTGAAATCAACGGCCTGCTAAACTCAGGGTTTTGAGTTCAATCTTTGGGGGGGGGCATTCTGTGTGACAGTTGTTTGTGTTTCTCCCTGATGCGCAGCCACCTTTGTTGATTTTAATTCCCTGTAAGCCATGTCGTCACTCGCCCCTCCCTCCCTCCGTCAGACAATAGTTTCGCGCCTTTTTTCAGCCCAGACGCCATAGCTCTGGGATCATGGAGCCCGCTCAGATCACCGTGGCAATTATGAGTACTATGAACACCACGCGCATTGTCCTGGAGTATATGCAGAGCCAGAACATGCCAAAGCAAAACCAGGCAAGGAGGCGATTGCAGCGCAGCGACGAGAGTGATGAGGAAATTGACATGGCCATAGACCTCTCACAAAGTACGGGCCCCAGCAATGTGCAAATTATGGTGTTAATGGGGCAGCTTCATGCCGTGGAATGCCGATTCTGGGCCCAGGAAACAAGCACAGACTGGTGGGACCGCATCGTGTTGCAGGTGTGGGATGATTCCCAGTGGCTGCGAAACTTTCGCATGCATAAGGGCACTTTCATGGAACTTTGTGACTTGCTTTCCCCTGCCCTGAAGCTCTAGAATACCAGGATGAGAGCAGCCCTCACAGTTGAGAAGCGAGTGGCGATAGCCCTGTGGAAGCTTGCAATGCCAGACAGCTACCGGTCAGTCGGGAATCAATTTGGAGTGGGCAAATCTACTGTGGGGGCTGCTGTGATCCAAGTAGCCAACGCAATCAAAGACCTACTGGTATCAAGGGTAGTGACTCTGGGAAACGTGCAGGTCATAGTGGATGGCTTTGCTGCAATGGGATTCCCTAACTGTGGTGGGGCGATAGACGGAACCCATATCCCTATTTTGTCACCGGAGCACCAAGCCAGCCAGTACATAAACCGAAAAGGGTACTTTTCAATGCTGCTGCAAGCCCTGGTGGATCACAAGGGACGTTTCACTAACATCAATGTGGGATGGCCGGGAAAGGTACATGATGCTCGTGTCTTTAGGAACTCTGGTCTGTTTCAAAAGCTGGAGGAAGGGACTTTTTTGAGCTTAGCTATCAGTATAATAAACGTGCTGCTTTCTGCCAAAGTCTGGTGGGTCATTAGTCCTCCCTAAGCTTACTAACTGGCCCAATTTCGGGTAACAGTAGGTGCCTGTTGTTATTAACCAGCAGGGATTGGCAGCGGGAGGTCTGTTAGGAGGCAGATTCCTCTGTGGCCTTGGTGAACGTGGGCTTGTGTGTGTTTCTTCATCATCATGGATTGCTGGGTTAGATTTATGCGTAGACAAGCCCTAAGCATTCATTGCAGCTGATTAGTTAATGTCTAGCCCTTGTGTCTTTCACAGAAATCCCCCCCAAGTGAACTGAATGTCACCCATGAAGTGCTGTCCGCTGTGTCTGGTCATTTCTTGCATTGCTAAAATGTTTGTTTCTTTTAACTCCCCTGGTGTCTCTGTCAGTGTAGTGCTGAGTCCTGCCACCTGCTGCTCTGGGTCTGAGTTCCCAGAGACGATGAATAACAGAATATGCTAACATGACAGACATGGAAACATCCCTTTCAAAGACACAGGGGCCAAAGGGGAAGGTGTGAGAGAATCCTCTCCCTAGTACCCATAGGGTAGAGTCAAATGTCAGAAATCAGGATTTTCAACAAAGTTCTCCCTCCTGCACACTCAGCTGTCCATGAAAGGGCCCCAGGCTCCATCCATGTCCCTGACCAGCCCTTTCCCTATTTTTGTACAGAAACAAACACAAACCGAGAGGCAGAAGATTGTGTCTGAATTTCAGCAACTGCGGCGGTTCCTGGAGGAACAAGAGCGACTCCTGCTGGCCCAGCTGGAGAAGCTGGACAAGGAGATTGTGAGGATACAAAATGAAAATGTCAGTAAACTCTCAGAGGAGATTTCCCATCTCAGTGAGCTGATCAGTGAGATGGAGGGGAAGTGTCAGAAGCCAGCGAGTGAATTCCTGCAGGTGAGACTGAGTGAGAAACAGAGATGCCGACTCTGTGGCTCCATGGCTGGAGCACCCATGTAAAAAAATTAGCTGGTGCTTAGCACCCACTGGCAGCCAGCTCCCCCCCTCTCCCCATAGTGCCTCCTGCATGCCGGCAGCCCCGCCGATCAACTCCTCTGTCTCTCTCCGCAGAGCCTCCTGTCTGCCACCTCCTGTCTGCCACTGTTCCACAGTGTGTAGGAGGTGCTTGGAGGGAGAGGGAGGATCAGGAATGGGGTGTGCTCAGGGGAGGGGGCAGAAAGAGGTGGGGGCAGAGTGGGGGCAGGAAGATGAGGGGCAGGGGTGTGGCATTGGGGGAAGGGGTGGGGTGGGGGCGGGAGCTGGGGTTGAGCACCCCCAGGGACAATTGGAAGCCAGCGCCTGTGGTTAGAAACATCCCAGGTCCCCACACAGGGAAGGGAGGGCTCCTGAATCATAAGCACTGGGGCCAGCAGTCGGAGATCTCAGTGTAACTTGGCGTGTGCGTTCCTGTTCTTTGGAGCGTTACAGACACATTGATATTAGAGATGGAAAAGCCCAGTTAGCTCATGGAATCCATGGTCTGGGATCAGGGCAGGGCCTCTCTTCCCCATATTTGCAGAATCCCTTCCCTGGGATCCCATATGTGTGCGTGTCAGATGGGACTGAAATTCCCTCTCTCTCTCTCTCTCTCTCTCTAGGATGTCAGAAGCACCTTGAGCAGGTATGTGGGTCTCTCTGACTCCTCCTCACATTTCACAACACTGGGAAAGAGCTTGGTGGTGATGTTAGTGTGACTTTCTATACCTTCGGGGAGCACTCTGTAACCTCCAGAGTCCTCATTTACATATAATTGTGATATTGCGTATAAAGCATGCCATGTGAGGTATCATGGGAACGGTTATGATCTGCTGAAACCCATTGTTCCATCTAAATGTGTATATCATCAATACATATGAAGTTATGAGAATGTGTTGTATGCTTGTCACTAAAATATGCTGTGGGTTTGGGAGGCGCCTAGATACTAGCTCTCCAGAGAGAATGACAAGGAAGGTATCCAACTCCCAGGTGTGTACTGAACAGACAACACCAGCCATTGTCCAGCAAGGGAGCTACAATGCGATGACTCACTTGCATAAGGCCACACCAGGGCAATTGCTCAATCTTGCCTGGGGACTCAGCAATGCCCACCAGAGACATGCCTGGACCTGTGTTCTCCAAGCACATGGGCTAAGGGTATAAAACAGAACACAGGGGGGGCATGCTTGGCCTTTCTCCTTCCCCCCACCTATGCTGCAAGCAACCAAGGCATAGAGAAGACTTAAGACTCCAACAGAGGAGACTGGCCCAGATTTTAATGGTGAAATCTGTGTACTATGAACTCCAATATCCAGTGGGGTGAGAAAACCTGCTTAATCTAGATGTTGCCCAGTCTAATAGTGTTGAGAGTTTAGACTGCGTGCTTATATTTTATTTTATTTTGGTAACTAACTCTGACTTTTTGTCTATCACTTATAGTCACTTACAATCTATCTTTTGTAGTCAATAAACTTCTTTTACTGGTTGTCTTTACCAGTGAGTTTGTATGAAGTATGTGGTAAATCTGCTCAGGTTTTGCAAAGGCTGGTGTATATCCACTTTCCATTGATGAAGTGGTGAACCAATTAATAACCAATTAATAAATTAGATGATACTTTCCTGAGGTAAAGTGCTGGGTGCTGGAAGCTGGAAGCTGGGATGTGGGGTGGGGGAATTTGGATGGTGCTTTTCTCTGTGTGATTTGTGAGTGGCTCTGGGAGCATTCAGGCAATCTAGCTGGGTGTGGATGGGCTTGCTGCTTGTCACTAGCAAGACAGCCCAGGCTGGAGAGAGTTAAGGGGGTGCAGTGGTCCCACAGTCCCAGGCTGCATCCCGGAGAGCCCATCACAGTTAGCACCACATCTCCCCAGGGCTCTACAACAAAATGTCTGGTGAAGGTCACATGTTGGATACAAATCTCTCTGGCCAACTTCATCCTGAGGTTCTCACCCTTGCAGAGAAGACTCTGGAATTATCCATTCAGTGGGAAGGACTGACCTAAAGTATTTCCTAGAGGTGTTACATCCCTGGGGGACTGGCTGCCTCAGGATTGTGGGGATGGAATATGGGCCTGTCACTGCTGGGGCACTGGTTACCATTCAGCCCAGGGCAGCAGTGGTCAAGAGTCTTTCCCACCTGAGGACTGTTTGGAGCCCTGTGTGGAATGAGCTGGGGAGGGGGCAGTTGGTGTCTCAGTCTAGCTCCTAGTGGGCATATTTCTACAGCACTTCACCTGGGAACCTGCTGTCCCCCAGAGCATGGAGGCCATGGAGTGAATTGGCCACAGAGACTCAGTTCCCCTTTTATCCTCAGAGCAGGTCTCTTCAGGTCAGAGATGGAGGGGAGGGATAGCTCAGTGGTTTGAGCATTGGCCTGCTAAACCCAGGGTTGTGAGTTCAATCCTTGAGGGGGGGCCATTTAGGAATCTGGGGCAAAAATCTGTCTGGGGATTGGTCCTGCTTTGAGCAGGGGGTTGGACTAGATGATCTCCTGAGGTCTCTTCCAACCCTGATATTCTATGATTAATGGGTCCTTGGAGGGAAGGTTGCATGGACATGGCCTGTGTTGCACCTGTTCTGAGGCTGGGAGAAGTTGAGGAATTCTAACTCCAGGCCCATTAGAGCAGCGACTTCCTAGCAACAACTTATAATAAGTCACTAAATGAAATATAATCATGTGAAATTGTTTCTCTCCAGGTGGGAGAAGGGGAAGTTCCAGCAGCCAAAGGAGATTTCTCCTGAACTGGAAGAGCAAGTCAGTGGTTTCTCCCAGAAAACTATTGCGCTATCGGAGGCTCTGAGGAAGTTCAAAGGTACCTAGAAGGGATCTAGGAGGGGAAATTGGGATACATGTCTGAGACTGTGGGAAGAGAATGGCGCTGGTCAATTGGTTCATAATTAGATTATGCTTCTATTTAATTGTTGGATGAGAATGCCACACACTTAGAGTCCAAGACACACAGACTGATTAATTCAACCCCTTATTTGTTCCAAAAGCATGTCTTGCCATTACAATTACTATGAAAGTAAGAAATGACAGACATACCGAAAGAAATACTGCCCAGCTACCTTCTTCAGGAGCATAGGCAGGTCATGATACATTTCTCCTATGATGCTCCATCTACCCTTTACAATGTCTTACATATTACACACATCCAAATTATATATTTATTAGTTCTTTCCCAATCACCTTTGTGTGTTATTAATAGTATCTTGTATAACTCATACACTACACATGCATGAACTTTCTAATTGGCAGTGCTTTTGCTGGCCAAGCTATTTTCAAGTTATTCTCTTTTCTGATTCGTTCATTACCAGTCATTACACACTGATGTGCACAGGTCACTTTGACCCTTTTCTCCACATGGGGGTTTTTGGACTTTGCTAACTGCTCCTTGGCAGTACGTTTTGGGTGCCTGTTGTCTTTAAGCACATTGTGTGTGTGACGTTGCACTCTATATGATTTTATGAAAATATGCTAATGTAACTGGAATATGCTTCATGCATAAGATCTCTTGTAAGGTATCATTACAAAACTTATAATCTACTGAGTGTGGTCATCCTATTTGTATAAATGTATCACTCTTGTATCTGAAACTAGAAACATGAAATATAACTCTGAGGGCCTACTGTAATTATGCAAAGTGTGGGCCATTAATGGTGATTTGGAATCTTGATGACTCCAATTAACCAGGACAATTGACTGCAGATGGCTCTGTTTTACCTGTAAGTCTTCCTGTATACTTGTGTGCTGGCAAGTGGGTAATGAAGTCTTACAGTGACATGTGATCATGTCACCTGAACTGGAATCCATCTTTAACCTGGAGCTTTTCCATTGAGAAGTGGGGGGTGGGAACCCACAGAGGCAAAGGATTCCCACCTCATGCAAAAGATATATAAGTGGGTGGAACAGAGAAAAGAGAGGAGCCATCATGAGGAATCCCCTAGCTACCACCTGAGCTGGAACAAGGGCTGTACCAGGGAAAAGGATTGTGCCCAGACTGGGAAGGTGTCCAGTCTGTGAAAGAGATTTATTGAAACATCTTTCAGGGTGAGATTTTACCTGTATTCAGTTTCTTAGACATAGACTTGTGTGTTCTATTTCATTTGACTTGGTAATTCACTTTGTCCTGTCTGTTACTACTTGGAACCACTTAAATCCTACTTTCTGTATTTAATAAAATCACTTTTTACTTATTAATTAACTCAGAGTATATATTAGTACTTGGGGGGGCAAACAGCTGTGCATATCTCTCTATCAGTGTTATAGAGGGCGAACAATTTATGAGTTTACCCTGTATAAGCTTTATACAGAATAAAATGGATTTATTTGGGTTTAGACCCCATTGGGAGTTGGACATCTGAGTGTTAAAGACAGGAACACTTCTGTAAGCTGCTTTCAGTTAAGTCTGCAGCTTTGGGGCAAGTAATTCAGACCCTGGGTCTGTGCTGGAGCAGACGGGTGTGTCTGGCTCAGCAAGACAGGGTGCTGGGGTCCCAGGCTGGCAGGGAAAGCAGGGGCAGAAGTAGTCTTGGCACATCAGTTGGCAGTTCCCAAGGGGGTTTCTGTGATCCAACCCGTCACGGTGTGGTCAAAACATCTCTTTGTCCCACATAACAACTTATGAATACATCACTTAATAACAAGGTGACTTAAGGAAACATTTCCCTTATGTTAAGCAAACTGCTCACCAGGCCAAAGCCAAGTCAGTCAGTATAAACGCACAATCTCGGTTTGTCCAAACTTCTGCATAAGAAATGACCCTTGCACCAATTCTCAAAACTTAACCTAATATCTAGTGGAAAGCAGACACTTTGAGCAGATGTAGCAGAGCCCCAGGCATCAGGATGTCTCACAATAATTTCATGACTTACCAAAGGTCACAGCATTAAAGCTCACGATCAGCAAAATGGCCAAATTTGGGGCACCTGAGTTTCTCTCTCCCAACTAGAGAATTGCAGGACAGATGCTCCAGAGCTGTGCAGCCTCCACAGCTGCAGGTGGAGTCAGTGGAGCTGCAGGTGCCCAAACCCCTCTGAGAACCAGACCCCAGGTGCCTAAAGGTCGGCACCCAAAATCTAGTCCCTAAACGAAAGGCCATTTGTTAGAGCTGAACCCAGCCCATCACTGGGCTCTGGTCCCCTACAGCAGCTAGTCTGGGCACATGGGCTGTATGGAAGGAGAAAGCCCCTCCCCCACGGTGCGGGATCCCTCCAGCACAGGAGCCTCTTGTGCCTCCTCCCCAGCAGCTGCAGGCACAAGGCGTGTTCCTGAGAGGGCTGGGAATGGGGTGGGGGTGGGGTGAGGGCGGGTGGAAGAGGGAGGGGGTGGATGAGGGACAGAGGGACGTGGGCAGTGTAAAGCTGGGCCTCTGACACTCTGCACACTGGGCAAGACACATGGGGGCCATTGTCATAGGGATGTAACTCTGGCTGGCTTCAGAACTTCCCTAGCCTGTGCCAAGGTCTGCACCAGCCCCTGCAGCCACAGAACAGTGGAGTCACAAACGGCCCCTCCCCTCTCCCCTTTTGCCAGTACGGGGTGAATCTGGCCATGGAGCCAACCTTCCTCCTGCCTCAATTTCCACATGGATAAAATTATTTTATTATTATTCATATTTCTGCCTAGGGAGGACAAGGCCTCATGGTGCTGCTCTCTGTAGAGACGCTGAGTAAACAGACCCAACAGATCACAATTAGAGCCAGGATTTCACAAACTCTTAATGTCAAGGGGACCAAAGTGGGTAAAGTTACTTTTATGCCAAAGTCTTTGCAGGATCTGGGTCTAGGTTATGAGAAAAGGCAGCAAGTCAATGAGACCAACTGGAGTCTGAACAGTCGGGGGGGAGAGTAAATCACATTTACAGATTTTGTATCCTGGGATGGTTGTGAGGCTCCATGGATGTTGGTTCTATTGACGGGAAATGCCTGAATGAGAGAGCAAATAGAAGGTTTCCGACCTTTTTATATTAATTACCTGAGTGTGTCTCTGTCTGTTTCTCTGTCATGATGAAAACACAGATCTAGGAGTTCAGAGTGGTGATGCTGTTATAATATAAAAGCCTGAAATCTCACCTCTCTTATCCTTTCCCCTCCAGACACTCTGCCGTCTGCACTGGAGAGAAAAAGAGGGAAATACCTACGAGCACACAGACAGGGTAAGGTTGCAGTTGGAGATTGTCTTTAAATTATGAGAAAATTCCAGTGAAAGCATCTTCATGAGATTGTAGCTAAAGATATCAACCAAACCAACAGCAACCATGACACACAGCCCTAAAAATAACTCATTAAACAGTGAGGAGATCCAGAGGCCAGGCTATACCACTTTTAAAAGTGGGATGGTCAGGCCCCCCTACTTTTTAACATAGCCATAGTTTGGAGGAAGGCAATGGCAGATTTAGAGTTAGTGGGTCCCTGTGCGCAGCTTCATTTCTCTCCCCCCCCCCCCCCCCCGCCCCGCCGGGCCCACCAAAAAAAAATTATTTCTTTCCTCCCCCCTGTTTTTCATTCTTTTTTCCTTCATCCTCCTCCTATGCTATAGGAAGTAAAGGAAAATAAAGTGAGGTACTTTGATTGGGGCAGGGGGTTGGGGTGCAGGAGGAGGTGCAGGGGTTGGGCTCTGGGAGGGAGTTAGAGGGCTGGGTGTGGGCTCTGTGTTGGGGCAGGGGGTTGGGGTGTGGGAGGGGGTCAGGGAGGCGGTGCTTATCTTAGGCGGCGCGGCTCCAAAAGCGACTGGCACACCCCTCTGGCAGCAGCTTCTTGGCGGGGGGGCAGGGGGTCTCCGTGCGGCGCTGCTGGCAGGCACCACACCTGCAGCTCCGTTTGGCTGCAGGTCCTGGTCAATGGGAGCTGCAGAGTTGGCACTCGGGGCGGGGGCAACGCGCGGATACACCCCCACCCCCAGGGACATGCCGGCCACTTCTGGAAGTGGTGCAGTGTGGAGCGGGGGAGGCAGAGCAGGCAGGGAGCCACCTTAGCCCTGCTGTGCTGCTGATGGCACGTCTCTGCACACCCCTTGGGGGAAGGGAGGCAGTGGGTCAGGCAGCGTGTGGAGCCACCTCCCCCTCCCGCCAGGGGCATGCAGAGACGTGCCAGCAGCTGGTCACTTCCAGGAGTGGCACGGGGCCACTGCCTGCCTGAGCCCTGCTGCATTGCCGCATTTTGGGAGCCCCCCTGTCATTGAGGGCCCTGTGCCACTGCACGGTGTGTTTAATGGTAAAACCGCTCCTGGGGGCAGGGGACCATGTTGCCCCCCAAAACTGCAAGCCTTGCGCAGGCATAGAGCATCACAGGCAGTGGCTGTGCTTTGTGGTATGGCAGCTGATCAGCTTCCCCCTGAGGAGCACAGACCCTGACCGCAGCGCCAGATTCTTCCCGGTCCTGGCCCCTCTCAGTGGCTCCTATCCATGCTTCTCTTCCCCCAAGGCCCTGCCCCCTGGCCAGGCCACAAGCTAGAGCTGTGCTGTCACCCAGGGAGCCCAGGCTGCACTGGGGAGCCCTGGACCCTCCACCTGCCCTGGGTGGCGCACTCTGGGGAGAGGGGACATGGGCTGGGGACTGCTCTCGGGCCCCCTGGATCTCGGCCCAGGGCAGGTGGAGGGTCAGGGGCTCTCCATAGTGGCCAAGGCTCCCAGCCCTGTCAAGGGGCAGGACCTCGGTGGGAAGAGGAGGTGTAGGACGGTGCCATGGAGAGGGTGGGGTCACAGGCTGCGGAACCTCTTGCCCCCAAGGTTCAGGAACTCCTGGGGAGATCCCAAGCTGACGTCACACAAAAAATCCTGACACCAAGGTTAGTGCTGAGTTCATGCCCACACTGATGAACAGAAACACTCACTGAGCAGCACCTGGACAGAGCTCTCTGCCCTGAGGGCTGACATATCCCTCTGCTTTACCCCAGTGCAGAGGGTCTCCCCATTGCTCTTCTCCAACATCCTGCCTTTCCTTTGGGCACGGCTGGGCTCTCCCATTGGAGCTGCTCACTGCTTCCTGGATTGGGGAGATGCTCTCCCTGTGACGCTGTCAGCTCCTCCCTTCTCTCTGGGCTGGGGCTGGGGCTACCCCACCCAATGCCACCTCCTATTCTCTGGTCTTAAGCAGCTCTTCCCCAATGCTGCACCTTCCTCTCTGTTCCCTGGCCTGGGAGTGGAGGCTGCATTAGGGGAGGTAGCTTCCCTCTGGGGCTTAAAGCTGGTACCTGCCTCTTCTGCTCCCTTCTCAGTCAAAGCTTCTGACACCTTCCTGTCTGTGTCTGTGCCACTGGGAATGGAGCAGCCCCAGAAGGGGAAGCTGGGAACTGAAGCCTCTGCGATAAATGAGAAACTAGTGAAGTGGGTTCCATTCAGGGGTGAAAGTAA